ATTATTTTTCTTGTGGAAGCCAAGACATGTTACTATCACATGAAAAATTATTGCACTGTCATTATTCGGTAAATTATCAGCTTCTTTTCCTGGGAGTCTTATTATCATTTTGTTATTCAAAAATTACTTCTCAATTTTAATATACAGCATGAGGCCAAACTTTTAAAACTTATGTGGATAACTGTTGCTATCAGGATTGTGGTGGATTATATTGTTGAGAGCATATGGGAAATTAACGGGAGACTATTCATTGCAAGATAGAGTGGATGTCCAGACAGGCATAAGACTGATTCTTAAGTTGTGTCTAACTGATGGATTTGACATGTTTCCTTCTCTACTAGTCACCGATGGTTCTTGCATGATTGATAGAAGGATGGGTATTCACGGTCACCCTCTTGAGATACAAGTAAGCTGATTATCACTATTTATATATGGAAATAGTAACCTATGAAGCACAGACACGCCAAACATGACTCCGACGCTGACACGGCAACACTGATAATAATTTGAAAAAATGTATAAATTAAATGTAATTACAAGTGTCGGTACAGGTGTCCGATACGAACACGGACAACCTTTTATCAGAGGTGTCGGTACTATATAGGTAGTAACTATTAAAAATATAGTTAAGTTGGAGAATAGTAGTTTGTTATATTTTTCAAAAATATATTTGATGTAAATACCATCTAACTCATTTTAATCATATACCAAATTATTTTTCTCCATTTCTCTCTTTCTTTTTCTCCATATTCGTTCTTTTCTTCTTTTTCCATACTACTTGATGTGGGACTTAACTTAAGCACTCCATAATACCCAAGTCCCTATCAGTTTCTTCCTTAAGTTTTAGCTTCTGCCGTATTTTTGTTAAGCTTAATTTTTGTCTCTTGCTGTTACGAAGTGGTTAAGCCTTGGGTTGTGGTTTTAGTGGTTCTTCCTAATTTGATGTGTGATGGTTGCTCTTGTTGGTTGGATATGATGTTCAGTGTCTAGAAGGGAGTTGAATAGACAAAATTCCCTTCATTTGATTTTCAAAAACAGAGTTACTTTGCGAAAGCTTTATTGGGGAAAATTGTTTTGAAATGAATTTAGGCAATTGAAAGTTTTGAGTGTAACGAATCAAACACGAAAAAGGATAGTGACAATGACAAAGCAAAGCAATATGTGAATTAACCTTCTTCAATTCAAATAAGGAATTTGAAATATATTAGATTAATCAACGTTTACAATTTAGAATTACAACTCCACATATTTAATCAACAAAATGATCAAATGATAAAGATAACTTGAAAATTTTATGTTATCATTCGATTCATGAGTCTACTCATGTGAGTAAATTCAAAAAAAGTTTGAATCGGATCACAAATCCCACATTGAGGCATGAAATTTTTCAGTCATGAGTCAATTCATGGTCACACATCCCGTGGCCAAATGATAATTTGCAAAAACACATTTGAGTTGATTCATATGCAGTCGAGTCGATTCACTTAAGGTTGACTTTAGTCAAACCTACATTTTATGCATGAAAATGCAATTTTGACAGTGTGGGGTTTTATGACGAATTCAATTACACGATAAATTTAACCAAGACAAGACATCAAAATAGAAATTTGCCGATAATACACTTATGCAATTTCAGCTCTCAATATTGGGGATCTATATTATGTTAGAGTGTTGCGGAAACGCTATAAGTAGTTCAAAAGGGCCTAGAAGTTGCTTGAACACTTTAAGGAGCTGTGTACTTTGGCCGCCACCCCTTTCATTTACAAGTTTTTTTATTAGTCAATGTGATTACAACTTGTTCCTTTCTAATTTTTAGTGACTATTCTGTTCCTTTTGCATTATATTGTACATTCCAAGCTAGAAATATTTTTTTAAACTCCTTCCAGAATGCAGGGCCCGATTGTAAATATAGTTCGTTGGAGGTTATCAGATTAGTAGTTGATTAATATTTTGTTAGTGCCTATGAATAGGTTTGCTATAATCACTTGTAAAAGACCTTTTTACTCATTTTAATCAAATACCAAATACAGTTTTCTCATAATTATCTTGCTCTTTCTTATGAACCATGTTTTTTTAACTTTAGTTATATGCATTGTTATGCAGGCATTATTTTACTCTGCCTTACGCTCTTCCCGTGAGATGCTGATAGTGAATGATACAACTAGTAATCTCGTGGCTGCAGTTAGTAATCGCCTTAGTGCACTCTCGTTTCACATGAGAGAATATTATTGGGTTAACATGAAGAAAATTAATGAAATTTATCGGTATAAGACAGAAGAGTATTCTACTGATGCTGTCAACAAGTTTAACATCTATCCAGAGCAAATTCCGTCTTGGCTTGTAGACTGGATATCCGATGAGGGTGGATACTTCATCGGCAATCTACAACCTGCTCACATGGACTTTAGATTTTTCACACTTGGGAACCTTTGGGCCATTGTCTCTTCTTTAGGTACAACAAGACAGAACGAGGGCATTTTGAATTTAATCGACGCCAAATGGGATGATATCATCGGTCAAATGCCTCTCAAGATATGTTATCCAGCATTGGAGGGTGAGGAATGGCGTATAATTACTGGCTGTGACCCCAAAAACACGTAGGGCTCTTAAAATCTCTTGTTTTTTTTTTGACGTTTTATTTCCAAAAGAGTAATGCTACAGCCACAACCCTTTTGATGCCAACATTCACAAATTTTTCATGTATGAGTACCATTGCATTTTTTTCATCAAATGGTTTTGGCCATTGCATTGTTCTTGCTCGATAAATTTGTATGTTATATACTCGCTTTTCTTCCATTCTAAGCTACAATAATAACTTTGCGCAACTCCTTGCAGCCCTTGGTCATATCACAATGGCGGATCTTGGCCAACACTTCTCTGGCAGGTGAGTTTCATATTTGTTTGACAATATCATTCTTAAGATGATGATGATGATTATTACTTTCTTAGTATTTTAGCATACCTCAAAGAAGTTGATCAAATATCTTTGAAGCATGAACATCTGAAATACGACACAAACACTGACATCAGTAATAATTTGAAAAATTAAATAAATTAAACGTAATTACAAATGTCAGTATCAGTTTTGGACACCGACACCGACACATTTTTTTTTCAGAAAGCCTATAACTTTTTTTTCTTTTCGTGCTCTCATTTCAATTAAGCTTATTGTGTCAATCCAAGAAGCAATTACTTCCTGATTTTGGTCAATTGAGTCTTTATGATCATAGAAGAATGAGACCTTTTCCCTTAATGAGCTGACATGATACCATTAAATTACAGTTCACTTTAGCATGCATCAAGATGGGCAGGTCTGATTTAGCACAGAAGGCAGTTGATTTAGCAGAAAAAAGACTTAATACAGACAAATGGCCAGAATATTACGATACCAGAAACGGAAAGTTTATTGGGAAGCAATCAAGATTGATGCAAACATGGACAATTGCTGGTTTTCTTACATCAAAGATGCTTCTAAAAAATCCAGAGAAAGCATCTTTGTTGTTTTGGGAAGAGGATTTTGAAATTCTTCAGAATTGTGTCTGCATGCTTAACAAAAGTGGTAAAAGAAAGTGTTCCCGTTTTGCAGCAAGATCTAAGACTCTTGTTTAATAATGACATGTCTTCTTCTTCTACAGTCTCTGACTTGTTTAATAATAATAACAGTACTAGAGTTATTACTACTACTACTGCTACTGTTTCAACTTTCTTTCAACTTTCAAGGTGTTGTCACATATACAAAAGTGTTGTTGACATGTTGATACTATAGTACGATGATGGACTTCACTTTTCAGAATTTTATCTGTGTAACAGAGTTCTGTAACATCATTAACTATGTGGGGGTAACTCATTCCACGTAGATGCATATTCCTTTTTTACTGTAACTGCATGTGCCATGTGGCTTCACTGTGCATCTGACTAGAATGATAGTCAAATTGTTTTTCTTGTTGAAATAAATAGTACTCAGAATATTTATTTATTTCAATTTGAAGTCTCTTGTTATCTTTAATATAATCTCTTGATTGATCAGAATGTTTCTTAGTTGTAACAAGTTTTATCATGGACAATCTTAAAAGAAAAAGTAATCACAAATTCTAATAACCATTGGAGCAACGATCCAGATCACAAGAAAATGCAAAATTACCATGACCCACAAATTTGAAAATAGATCATGGGTTAGAAACTCTGTAGCATCGACACTTCCGATAAAAAGAGTGTTTGTGGCTGTGTTTTGAAATTATTATCATTGAAAAAAAAGGAGTATTTGTGTTTGTTTTGAAATTTTAATTATTGTCGGCGTGTCAGTGATTGTGTTCGTGTTTCATAGGGTAAGATTTGACACTTTTAAATATATGTGTTGTCATTTGTGATTACGTTCAATTTATTTATTTTTTGAAAATTATTATAGATTAAAAACAAAGTCACCAACATATTTGTGGTCAAAGAATTCAACACGAAAACCATAAGCTAAGATTGACATCCAACTGCAAAATTTCCGGCGTCTATCATCATCCAAAGAGTTTAAAGTTCCTGAAGATGCTAGGAGCGAGCTCACCATGTGCGTAATTCTACATGAAACTATTGTACTAATATCTTCTCAATTAATCTCACTATCTCACTTTTAAGAATATCAATAGTAGATCATAAACTAGAAACAAAGTGCCATCCAAAGGCACAGAAAGAACCCGTTTGGAGGTTTGAATTCAAAACATTAATAAGATAAATAAATGTAAAGACAAGAGAGATCAGAGAAAGATTGTGATTGATGATTGAAGGCAGACAGGTACAGAACAGGCAACCATCTATTAGTACTCAGTCTTACATAACTGAACAGTAGCTTTCTTTGCTATGTCAAGTTAACTTTGCAACAAATTTAGGCAAACAAAAGCATACAACCTTTCCTAGGTCCAAAAAGAACACCAAAACATGGGAACAAACAACAACAACCTTGTCCTTTACATTACACAACATTAGTATTGCTAGAAACTCAACTTTATGAATACTCATGACATGTTTGCTCTAAAAAGTTGAATTCTTGTGTCACCAAGCCTTAGAGAGTATGTAGCTTTTTTGTAATCGGCCCAAGTAAATTGTCTGAAGAGTGAGGGCCTGTGAGGTGTAACCAAAACTGGTGGAGCAACAATGGAAGCATTTAGAGGTGGAGCCCCAAAATATGCCATTGACATTCTAGATTTGTATGAGTTTGTCATTGCCCTATGTCTCACGCTTACAAATCTTCCATTTGTCATAACCTGTCGTCACATTCACAATACACCTATATAATATTAGATCAGATACATCGATTATTCAATAAATCTAAAAACTACTTTTTTATATTAAACATCAAACAATATTATGATTCTTATTAGAATAGCTAGCTAGCTAGCTTGCATATTTGTCTGAGATGATAATGAACAGGAAATATTCAATCTAGTAGACATTAAGTCAATAATAATGCATGTCAATTCCTATAAGTTGAAAAAATTTCCACTTTTTCATGCTAGTGTTGTTGATATATAGATAGATAGAGGAGGCCCCTAGATATAGTGTGAGACCCTCCCTTATCTTATGGCACAAGCAAAGTGAACCAAGAAAAGAATGTAGGGTTAACATGACTTCAAAACTATACATTGAGTATAAGTGAGAAATTACCTCAAGGACATCGCCAACATTAACACAGAGAGCAGAGGGGTCAGGGTTAATAGGAATCCATAGACCATGTTGAAGAGAGATTTGAAGACCAGAAACGTCATTAGATCTAAGAATGGTCAAGATCTGAGGGTCAGAATGCTCCCCAAAGCCAACATTGTTGGAGTGTGACTTGTCCTTGTCCTTAACTAGTGTAGGTGGGTAGTGATTGAGCCTAAGAATAGAGTCACTATCAATATCCTTTATTAAACTGCTGAATACCTTTCTATCAGGGACCCCCAATCCTTCTGCCATTAAATCTAATATCTCACATGCCACCTCTTTCACTGCTTCTGTATATTCACTCACCCTATACCTATCATCATACAAACATACAATAACAACGTCAGATATCGAACTCTATACGTTGAACTCTGAACCAACAACTTACATTCATTTAATTAATTAATTATGCTAACATGAACATGCATGTTTCTTAGCTGGTGATGACTAAGATAAAAGTAACAGAACTCAAGCTTTGTCAGTGTAACTGGTACTCTATCTGCTTCTGTTTTTGACTACTCACTGCATTTTTATTTATTCATTTTTCACCTTTTATTTACTCAATATGTCATGCTTCAAACCTTTGCAAATACTCATATATTTACATTATTTATGAATTAATAGTATGGTCCATAATAATAAAAAATAATTATATATGGTGTACGTTGAAACTCTGAAACTTTACCTATTCTCTCTCTGTGTATTCTATTCTGGTCAGATACAATACAACTCATAGAAAGGTGTAGTAATTTCAAAAGAAAACGTTAAAATTGTTCAATTCAATGAAATAAAATAGTCACGGGCAATGGCATATATATTTATCTATATCCTAGCCAATTAATATAACCTACTATAGCATGGTCCAAAGTAAAAAATAAAAAAAATTACATAAAGATAAAAATATATGCATGATTTCACGATTATATTTTGAAATTGTTACTTTGCCGTTTTTAGTGATAATAATTTATTTTAACAATTTAAAAAATAAAAATCTGAAATTATAGAGAAGAATAATGAAAAAGAGATAGTAATAAGGTAGTTTTGATGAGATACCTGAAATTAGAATGTGGAGAATGAATGGAAATAGTTTTAGAAATTTGATCAATGGAGGAAGTGTTAGCATTAAGAAGAAGATACTCAACTTCACCAATATCTCCATTAAATCCAATATTCTTACAACCATAAGCTGGTGAAGATAGTTTCTTTTCACTCATTGGTTTTGCAAAGAAACTAAAACCAGCTTCTTCCATTTTTTCAATAGTTTCATCCCTAATGCCATGGTTGATCACTTTGAAGAAACCAAACTCCTCACTTGCTTTCACTATGAGTTTTATTACCTCACACCTTTCACCTTTTAGGTCTATTATTGGAATCACATCACTTGGTAAAATTGTTTCACTCCTATGTGGTTTTGGTGAGGCCAATACCATTGCTAGAACTTTGGGAGATAGATATGAATGAGGGAAGAAGTGAGACATATATTTATAGAGAATGGCCATTCAATTTTATTTTTTTATTAGTTGATGATAAATTATACTTTATTTTTAATTATTTTAATAAGAAATATTATAGGATGGTAATTATTTTTGTCTTTTGTTTTTGATGATAATGGGGATTAGTGAATGTGGTACTTTAAAAGAGAAGTACAAGTAGGGAAATTCTAAGTTAAGGACATTGACTTTGTATACAATGTCAGGAAGATTCTTGCTTTTTTCACTTTAATTAGGATTATTTAACATGTTTATTACTCCAATATCATGTTTTTCTTTGACACAAATTTTCTTTTAGGGTAACTTTATTACCATCTTTTTGACTAATCACTTCACTTTCCCTGTCTTCTTTACCAACTTTCACGTGCCGTTTTCTTTGTTTGATTATATTTTAATAGGACTTATTTAATTATAAATTAAACATAATTAAAAATTAATTATATATTCAATTTTTATTTCACTTTTAATATTTTTGTAATATTTTATTTTAAATTGATATCTGAACTTTAAAAGAATTTTATTTTTTATTTTTTTTTATTTATTTCAACTTTTCATCTCAATGTAAAAAAAGAAATAAAAAAGTTGAAAATGATAAAGATGAAAGATATATGTTGAAAGGGTGAAAACTTTGAGGAATTGAAAATTGCAAGACTAAAATAAATTCAAATAGAGGAAAATTTTGAGAATTAGGGATTTCAAATATAATTTTATAAGAAAATATTTTGATTTATTATTTTAATAATTTAAAATATTTTATAAAGTGATAATTGTTGAATAAAAATAATTAGTAATGAAAACATGTCTATTATTATTTCTGCTCGATTATTAATGAAAACAACAAAAATAAAAATGATTTTAAAATGAGGTGAATATGGAGAACTTAAAAAAAACTAAAATTGGTTAAGAAATTTTAATTAATTGAAAAAATCGATATTATATGTGTGTGTGTGTGTGTGAGAGAGAGAGAGAGAGAGAGAGAGATTCTACTTATTTTTACATTATTGTACGTCTCATTTATTCACTGACTCTGATGTTAGACTGTTAATTTTGTGGATCCGTCTCACTCTGCCATATAAGAAGCTCGTCCTACTATGTGTGAAAGCTATTATTCTTTTTGATCTGATTTCTAAATTTGAGAATTTTTAATATTGAACTATCTCACAAATTAATGATTTTATAAGATGATTATTTTTTTAAATACTCATATTGCAAATTCTTTCATCATCATTATATATCTATCTATGTGGTTTTTTCCGTTTTCAAATGATAGACATGTGTAGACCTAACTTTGACTTCTTAAGAGAGAAGGTAAATCGAGGTGAACTTGAAGTAAGACATTGCTTAAGTGAAGCACAGTTGGCTAACATTTTTACCAAAGGATTGAAGATCGACAGATTCCTGAGTTTGAGAAAGAAATTAAGAATAGTTCATATTGACTATAATTAGCGCATGTTCGACAACTTAGATTATACGGGGTATGATATGATATATATTCCAAGTTGTGTATCCCGAGTCCAAAGTTAATTAGGGTTTAGGGTTTGTTACTTAGTATACAAGTTAGTTGTATATAAATAGACATATTTTGTAATTCAGTTTGTACAATCACATTCAATAATAACAATCCTTATTCTTAATTCTCTCTCTCATTCCTTCTCTCACTAAAGTGCTTCACGCACTAACACTTTTATCAACAAAAACGTGAAGGGAAAATAAAAGGTGAAAACGTCTATGTACTTGAAATGTGAAGAGAAAGTGAAAGAAATATGTTTTGTGTATCAAATTTTTTTTGTATGGAACCGTTCAAGGAGTAAACCTTGAGAGAGTGTTAAAGTTTTATTAAGAGTGACACGACTCTCTGTCCTGAAAGAGTAAAATTTTCACTTAAATATAAGTTATATTTTTCATCACTGTTGAATAAAATGATTGTGATTAAATGTAAGTACATTTCACAATTGTTGCTACTACGGACAGGGATGGAGCTAGGTTACTGGCTGTGTGGGCTAAAGCCTTCACTAACAATGGGAAATTGATGAAATATACCTTAAAATTAAATAAATATTTTGAGATATTATTTAATTAATTGAATAACTTACCCACACTTAAAAAATAATAAATAATTATTTTAATCGTATAATATATTTTTTTCTTATCAATTGACTCTATAAATTACTCACAAAAATAATATTAGTTATAGCGTTTGTAGTTTCAATATAATTAAGTATTAAAAAGACAACATCTCACATATTTAAAGATTAAAATAACTATTTTATAAAAATAAAAACAAAAATTCATTGTAAATCTCTTCATTTTCATGATTGTGAAATTATTTATATAGAATAATGATGTTTTTTATATTTTATATATATATATATATATATATATATATATATATATATATATATATATATATATATATATATATATATATATATATATATATATATATATATATATATATATATATATATATATATATATATATTGTCTCCTCTACTCTTTATTTTCTGGCTCCGTCTCTAACTACAGACCGTGGTGAAAAATATTTTAATTTTAATATAAATATTAAGATTATAAGTGACACGTCTATTTTTAATCAAAAAAAGAAAAATTATTGGTGTGGAGACTCGAAGTTAATAACACTTAACATGTCACTACGGTTGTTATTATGGACAGTAGTAAAATGTCTTTTAATAAAAGAAATAAAAATGAATGTGTTATTACTTCGGTTGGCATAATATTCAAGGTAATAGCATGTTACGTTATGTGCTTTTTGTAGTAGTGAGGATGACCTTAGATCTAAAGACTGAGAGATCTAATTACAAAAATGATCATTCTAAAGACACAAATGTTGAAGGTCGAGTAATAACGCAGTCAGGGGACCAGCAAGGGAGATAACGACTTAAACATGGAATCACCTTAATCAAACACCCAACTCTCATCAACGGCCTAAACTTTGTAAAAAGACCAATTCTCATCAACTATCTATCTATTAAAATCAACTACCACCAAACTACCTAAATTGTCCTTTCCTTTATATTAATTTAACTACCAAAAGGTTAAAAATGCAAATAACTAATGTCTCTTTTTTTTCAATATAAATCTACAAAGTGACACATGGTATCATTCCAATCATTCATTTTTAAACTTCAACTTTTTCCATCTTCATTCACTTCTTTGTTTCAAATTTTAAATCTCTTTTACATTTCTTTTTCCCACACTTTCGTTTTTATTTTTTTATCACTTCATTTTCTTTTTACCTTTTTATTTTTTCTAAGTATCAACTATCTTTTTATTAAAATTAACTACCACCAAACTAATAAAAGAATAATAAAAATAAATAACTAATGTCTCAATTTTTTTCCGAGTAACACATGATCTAATTCCAATCATTATAATTATAGTATATGATTATCATATTATATATTTATTGGTGTATAAATCTATACAATATTTGCATTTAGTTTTGTTTTTACGACAAGTTTAATAAATTCTATTTATTTATTTACTATTATTAAAAATATTAATTTATTTATTTTTAAATTTTAATAAAATTAAGAATTTATTTTAGTAAATTAGATAATACTAATAGTTAGACAAACGACTAACTTTCCATCTCACAGATCACTATCAGAAGAATATCTATTTTATTTTATTTTAATTAATAATTTTTATTATTTGAGATGAAAAATTCTTATTTTCGAATGTCAAAATTTCTCTTTTTCTTACGGGTCACTATCAATAAAATACCTATTTTATTTTAATTAACAATTGTCTTTATCAACTATCTATATATCTATTAAAATCAACTAGCACCAAACTATCTAAATTGTTCTTTCCTTTATTTTAATTTACACTACTAAAAGGTTAAAAAAGTAAATGACTAATGTCTCAATTTTTTTCCAATATAGTCTACCACAAAGTGACACATGGTCTCATTCCAATTATTAATTTTTAAACTTCAACTTTTTTCATCTTCATTCTTTTCTTTTAATTCAAATTTCAAATCTCTTTTACATTTTTTTCCCACACTTTCTCACTTTCATTTTTAATTTTTTAGCACTTCATTTTCTTTTTACCATTTTATTTTTTTTTTAATTATCAACTATCTTTCTATTAAATTTAACTACCATCAAACTACTTAAATTGCTCTTTCCTTTACATTAATTTACACTAATAAAAGATTTTTTTTTAAAATTAATGTCTCAATTTTTTCCCAAGTGACACATGACCTCATTCCAATATTTATAATTATAGTATATGATTATCATATTAAATATTATTTTTTGTATAAATATATACAATATTGACATTTAATTTTGTTTTTACTACAAATTTAATCAAATTTATTTATTTATTATTATTAAAAAATATTAATTAATCTATTTTAAATTTTAATAAAATTAAAATTTTATTTTATAAAATTAGATAATACTCAATAGTCAGACACATAACTAACTTTTTATCTCACAGAAAAATATCTATTTTATTTTAATTAATAATTTTCATTATTTGAGATAAAAAAGTTCTTATTTTTAAATATCAAAATTTCTCTTTTTCTCACGGGTCACTATCAACAAAATATCTATTTTATTTTAATTAACAATTGTCTTTATTTAAGAAGCAAAACTCTTATTTTCAAATGTCAAAGTTGAGTTTAGATTATCATTATTTATTTTATAATTAAATAACTCATTTCAAATTTATATGTATATCTAAATATATAAAATCTATATCGTATCAAATAAATTTACTCATGTGGACGCACAGATACTTTGCTAGTAAAATAGAAACTTTATTGAATATTCTCATGTATCAGAATATGCTCAAATTTCCGAAACAATACCCCTTCTACTAAGTCTGTACAACATCTTCAAAAGACAAAGAAGTGTCACCATATCCATCCAAAATCTTATTTTTACAGTCATTTTTATGTTCCTACC